ATTACAATGACCTGAATGGTCTTGTCTCTTTGCCTGTGTCGGGGACGACAAAGCGTTCACACGGACGACAGAGTTACTAAAACATCATCGGGTGTCCGAACCACTCACCGCGCGAAGTGTAGCAAGGCGGAAAGCAAAGAACGCTTTTCCCTGCGTAATTGGCTTCAAATGTAGGTTCCCTTGTTCGTACAATACAGGGACGAACACGTAGAAAGTTGGAAGCATCCGCTTATGTTTTAGGTACAAGTTAAGGCAGGTAGACTATCCCCTAGAGGACACATAGTATTCATCTTCGTATTGAATATACGAAATAGGCCAAAATCGGTGCCTAATACCTAAACAGGCCGATTTATGGTGATTTGATTATACGTATATGGGTGACATCCTCTGGGAACCCAAAAATGACGCGAGAAAAAAGTTTGGCAAAAAAAGTTGCCTTCATTATGAAATCCATGTGCACGTCGTCATGAAAGTTGAACAAACACGCAATGACTGTTATAGTATGGCGAATAATAGACTGATTTTAATTTCATCACATTTTCTTCTTCGGCATTCTACGACACAATATAACCGGTTTCCAATATTTTTTGCAATTTGTGGCATATAGTAGCTGCTTCGTACGATTTACAGTATGGTCGAAAACTTACCTTCAACGGTCGAAGCCAAACACGACACTATCAGGCAGAAAGTCGTGAGATGAGAACTTCCCATGCCGAAACTTGTCCTGCTTGGCGAGACCATTCCTTGGAGCAAGTGTGGGCAATCTTCATTTCAGATGCCGACGTTTTCCCCACAAGTCTTGTTCTTGTCTTGTCTTGGTGTTGTCGGTAGAGTGTTGTACGGTGTTATTTCAGCCACTTTCTATGCGCAGTGGTTGTCGCCATTTCTTTGTTACGACCATTCCGTGAAAAAGACAATTAGGATTTTGTCACAAAATATTTGTTTAGCAGGCGTGTTTGTCATATTCTGCATGCCATACAATGTGACATTCCTATATTTTTTGTTCCTAACTTGCGCAACCACCCTGTGTTGTTAGTTACGCCCTTTGAACCATGCGGCTGGCGTTATTATGACAGTCGTCAATATTTTGGAAAGAAACACGCTAGCACATACAGAAAGGGGCAAACGACAAAAGATGACAAGTCTATTAACACTTAATTAGGCGTAGCCGTTACGGTGGACAGTATAGTAGTATGCCCTGTAGTTAGTTGTGCTGGTCTAGTTGTGGTGTATATTGTTATTTGGACTATTTTTAAATCAAAGCCACTAAAGCTGACCTTCAGCCTACAATGTGTTGTTATGTGGTCGAGAAATATTTATCCGTATCCTTGCTTGTCATAACTTCTTTTTTGTTTTATCTCACACTATTTGGACGGCATCATTTTCAAAGAACCATTCACTGTCATTTCTGTGACGAGCCTTGTCAGCAAGTAAATGCCATGTTTGTTTTGCAAGGGTCACAATAGTTCTTGCTTGGTAGTGGAAGTGCGCGCGTGTAGGGTCCCCGAGTGTGACTGTAACAGTAGCGTGTGCGTTACGCCATCTAGCGTTTGTATGTGGAAGTGCAAGATATGTCAAAGAATCTGGCACCATTGCACAACTTGGGCCATGTTGATTGATTATATTGGATGGCATTCGTACGTGCACGGGCATGAATTTAGTCCGTTTCTAAAGAGAAGGTTTTCAACCATCGTACAAAGCAGTTGGAAAAAGATCAAATATATGCAGTAAAATGCAGGAAAACGATATTAATGTAGAAATGAAGAAATGAAAATGAAAAGTTCATTATTCACCATACGGCATACCATACTCTGTGTGTTTAGTCATTTGTTCAACCTTTATGACCAATTAGATTTCATAATGAAGGCAACTTTTTTGCCAAACTTTTTTTATTCGCACTCTCGTATCGGTTTTGAGGTTCCCAGAGGATGTCATCCAAATAGTCAAATCAACATGGCCTAAACAAGATACGCGATGCCTAACATGTACCCATGCCAACACAACACATTTCGTTCCAAAGTTACACGTTTATTCATAACTTGGTTATCAAACGACATGTACATATAACCCAGCGTTATGGTTTGACCACAGACAAGTCTTGTACACGTTCCTGACTTCGACATATAGAAATCGACTAGATACTTTGATACTAGATACATTAATAACAATGTTGGTCCCTCGAAGGTTCAATATTACATCATTATTTTACACGCATTTCCGGAATTCCTCCTGAATAGTACATTTAAGGCCATGTTGATTTGATTATATGGATGACATCCTCTGGGAACCTCAAAACTGATGCAAGCGTGCGAATAAAAAAAGTTTGGCAAAAATAGCCATCATTATGAAATCTACGTACGTGGTAATGAAGGTTGGACAAATGACTAAATACTATTGTATGCCAAATAATGAACATTTCTTTAGACTTTCTTCGTTTCCCTTGGAATTTATTTTTGCATCCTATGGCATTAGTATCGTTTTCCTTTTTTTGCAATTTACGGCATATATTTTCTCATTCTGCATCAGATTCTACATTGTAAGATTGACAGTATGATCGAAAACTTTTTAAAAAGTGCGCGCGCGGATGTCATCCATATAATCAAATCAACATGGCCTTATTTACTGACAAAGTTGGTCCCTCATACGGTCAAATCGGTCATTGTGTTACACACAATTCCTCCTGAGTATTAACTGAGTTTAAAGGACATTTTGTACAAAGCTTCATACACCACGAACTTCCAGCGACTTACGTGTTGCATAAAATTCATCAAAGTCACAACAGTATGTTAGTACATACTCCTATATTACCAAGGCATGCCCCTATATACACATGGTCACAAATGGAACAGTAACAGACCAAGCAGACAGGTAAATGACAATACAGTACTGATGCAATATGCCACTTAACTTTTCTTCTCAACATCGCCATTCACATATAAGGTAATGTTTTCTTTTATTCCAACATTTATTACAAGACCTGGCACGTTCAAGTTTTCCAACTTATTTTCATGCTACCACCAACGCAGACAAACGCATGAGTTAAGTGAGGAAATTCATGTGAAGTGCCTTTCCCAAGGGCACAAGATCGGTGGCATGGCAGGATTCGAACTCGGGACTTCTTGGTTCCGATACGAACGCTCTGTCATTACGCCACACGATCCCACAAATGTTATCTCAGTTATCATATTACAATGTAGTAGAGTGTTAAGTCAGTAAATGCAAGTATCTTGTTTACTTTACAGTATACAGTTACACAGGGGTACATATCTCCATAGCACTACAAAGATACAAACAACACATGATAATTAGGACAGAAACATTGTCATTTCAGCTGCCACCATACACTGCGATCGAAGAGAAACCATCACAAAACACGTTAAATTACAGTGGCCTCGATACGTAGTTTTTGTGCACAATATTGTTTTCAAACACTCCATATAGTAAAATACCCGAGTCTATTCCGTCGTTTTTGGATTCCAAAACTTAAATGTAAAAGACGGTCAATCAAGATAGAATTGTCTTAGCATGAAAGTCCATCTGTTTTGGTGTTGGAAGAAAAGCTTAGTCTTTATTTCATTAGATAAAATTGTAATTTGCTGTGACAATCAACATCAAAGAAGTTTTTGAAAATAAAAACTACTGTAACAATTTCTCAATAGAGAAGAATCCTCAATATAAGGCAGTATAGTTAAATTTCATAGTATTTGCAAACAATGCAGTGGACATTTGGTACCTGTGACCAAAAAAAAACAAAAAAAACAAAACAAAACAAACTTGTAGCTGATTACAAGAACTTTAATATGATGTTTTCGCGTGTAACATACGTAGGTTCAGGCGGAATATATTAACCTTCTAATGCTATCGCAGAACTTTTCAGTGCTGTTATTTCAAACAGACAAGTTACATATGTTACCGGAGAGGCCACACTGTGGCAACTGTTCAAGGTCTCTGACATAAATATTTACTTGTAACATTTTGTTTTCAATCTTTGATATTTCGATAGATCATACAGGTCACGCTCTGGGTAGAACCTTTAGACTAACCCCTCAGAAGGGGCACTGGGCTTGTACAATGCGTTCGGCATAAAAATAAAAATGTATTTACTTGTAACGTTTTGTTTTGAATCTTTGACATTTCGATAGGTCATACAGGCCACGATCTGGGTATAGACTAACCCCTCAGAAGGGTCACGGGACGTATACAGTGCACTAATTGTGAGGTACCCTCAGCAATAGACCGATCCCGAATGTCCATCATTAGAAGTTCAACCAATGAGAGACTGGCAATTAGCGGTTCGACCAATGACAAAGTGACTGCATGTTCGTCAAATATTTGCATTTCTATGTTTTGACGGAGGTGAGTGGGGCTTCAGGATCGCTCTATTACGATTTTTTCTTACTCTTCGACCTCTAGGACGTCCCACTTGTTGGGCGACATTTGCTTGACGCTGCCCCTGGTGCCGCCACCGGCGGAGAGGGCGGACGACGGCCCGCGCACCGAGATTTTTGTGGGGGCGGTGACGGTGGTGGTCCCGGTGTTGTAGCTGGGTTTGGACGTGACCTTGGCCTTCTGTGCCAGGGCGGAGTCCTTCCTACGGTGACACATCTGCCGCAGGCAGTTGCGGAAGTTTTCCCCCACAAAGGTGTAGACAAACGGGTTGATGGCAGAGTTGGCATAACTCAGGAACAGGGCGATGACCTAGTGGCAAACAAGGGAAAGGTTTACGTTAAACCCCTGTCACACATCCAGAAGTTCGTGAGCAATAAGTTATTCCCTGGAAAAGCTAAAAACAAAAACGCCCACTACAGTTGCGAACAAGCTGCTAGGAGGCCGAAGATGGCACCACTTATTCGAAGTCCCAACAGCCTTCGACTACTCAAAAATCATTAACCTGAAACTTGTGGAAATTTTTACTTCAAACTTTGATGCCACGCAGTACCAAACGTACCCACTGGGAGGCCCATCATCGAACTTGACCTTCGTCTTTGCTGTGCCTACCCATCCACTAGATATCATGCACAGCTTCTCTAGTTATGTTGTACACAAATACAAACACATCCCACTGCTGCAACGTAGAAACACGACAGGTGAACCATTTTCGAACTTGACCTTTGTTTCCATATCTCTACTCACCTACCAAATACAGTGGAGATCCACCTTCATACATACAGACACACACCACAGCCACTCCCCCATGGCCAAACCGAAAACATACCCTTCTGTCGAAGGCAACAACACAAATTCTAGTTGACTGGACGGTAAGAGTCTCACCTTCAGGTAGTAGACAGTGGTGGTGACCTTGTTTTTGATGTTGACCATGCGCCACAGGTTGAGAGCGTGGTTGGGCAGCCAGCACAGGGTGAACAGTACCACCACTCCGATCACCATGAAACTGATGCGTCTGGTCTGCATGGGGAAATAAAGTATTCATAATTTCATAATATTAACCTCGTTAATATTAACAGAAGGTGCTCGGGGGCAAGGTCATATATGTGCACTGGACTTGAAGCCGAGAAGCTCCATGTAGCTTGTATTATTATTATTATTATTATGATGATGATGATAAATTGGACGTGAATTGGCAATTTATCATCATCATCATCATCATCATGTGGTGTGATGATGATGATGATCACTACCACATGATGATGATGATCATCATCATCATCGGCCTCCTTTTTACCCTAGCAGTTTTGATATTGGAGTAAATGCTTATTTTTTAAACATCCCTATAATGTCGTTGAAATGGTTTTGCCCGGGTATCTGACCAGCGGCAGTAACACTCGCGCGTGCTGACCGCAACTGTTGCTGGACTTTGGCATGGGCAGTCGCGCTTAATAAGTAACAGGCACGGTAAGACGGTGGGGCTGTCTTTGTTACTAGTGACACGACCATGATAGATAATGATAGTCCGATCTTTATGTGAATGCAATGATTGTATGTGTGTAATTAAAATGAACTTCGAACTTGAAGCACAGTATCTTTACACGCCCTAGGAACAGTAATGGATTTGGGTCTTTTTATGTTTTATCATTGTGACGCGCCCTCATTGTATTAACCTAATGTCTGCACAGTAGGTCTGGCGTTGACGCTTGGGATTATTTTTGTTGCAAAATATAAAATTTCACGGAGGATTGTCACCTATGGCTTCTTGTTATTATTATTATTATTATTATTATTATTATTATTTTACCTGCAGGGCGTGGTTACGGGGTCTGGTCTCGCTCGTCTTGAAGCGGTTCCACAGCCGCTTGAGGATGAACCCGCACATGACGGCACACACCACCAGCGGGATGAAGTACGTGATGAGGACGGTGTAGATCATGTAGCCCTGCTCGAAGGAGGGGGACGGCCACACGGGGCGGCAGAACGTCCGGATCCCGAACCACGGGATGGGCACCAGCTCGTAGTACAGAACCACGGGGAGGGCCAGCAGGAAAGACGCTGTAGGTATGGAAACAAAAAGAAAAGTAGTATCGATCCAGTTTTACCACAGGCGCTAGGCCACCGAGTTTTTGTTGAGATCTAACAATACATGTAACGTTACATTGTTTTGTAAACCATTAAATAAAATCCTTATTATTGTTTCGCGCATGTTAGAACATACACTGTGTCTACTCATTCAGCCCGTTGCCATCACAATACAGTGGTCCGTTGAAATATTCCCAAAAATCATACAGTCACATAACACATAACACCGTGAACACGGCCCGTTGAAAGGTTCCCTAGAATCATACGTACACTGAACACGGTCACAAACTGATGAGGATTCCAAAGAACCATACGAACAGATACCGAAGTCTCCCGAAGATTGCCGAGTGCCGAACAGCGACTTCCGAACGCTTCATCTTGGTTAGGTACTTAGTACTAGTATACACTAGGTGCGAAATGCCATTTTAAAAGACCCTATTTTCTGCGAAATGCCATAAGGAAAATAAAAGTCTTGATACTATCTATAATCAAGGGGTAACTAAGTAGCCATGTAAACTTTTTGGGGGTATGATACCATATTTTAAGGAAGATATGAAGCATTTTGTAAAGTCCAATTTCCGGCGAACTGCGTTACCAGGTCGCTGCTGTACAGGTCAATGACATCATCGCTAGCCAATCAGACGCACGATAGGCCCACATTTCCCGCGCGGTTCTAAAATGTAAACGCACACAACTGGCTACATCACCCGACAAGAGTCTTGACATGCTATGTGTAAATGTACTCTAAACACGTCCACAAACCCCACCGACATGTTTTCAGTTCTACATATGTTTCCCAGGCATGAGATTTGGAAAGTGTAGTTGTGCCCAATATCTCTAAAATGTACTATATCGTTGTTTTCTGAGTCTGGGGAGGCAGGGACTTCACACCGAACGTGATTCTAAGTCACATTTTTGCTGCCACCCCAGTTGGTAACGCAGTTCACGGGTAGGTGTTTCCTACCCTGTCATCTTTTTGAAGTTATCACCGCTAGCGCTAGCCCAGTCTTGGGGTTCTATCGAGTCGAG